GCACACATACCCAGACATGAGTTAGACCAGTCATTCCCACAGACTGGGTCGGGATGACTTATGGTCTAAATCGATAGTTTCAAGTCTCAGTCAATACTTCATGATGTTCATTTAGTAAATGATGGTCCAATTTAGGGTCAAATAGAGCATAAAACAGGGTCAGTTTTAGGGTGGGGCTACCTTGTGATTGGCAGGTCGCTTCCACAGAGTTGTCCGGGCTGGGAGTTTTTGTCTTACAACTTTAACCCTTTCACAGTGTGTTTTCAGCTCAGCTTTGCGTTTGGTTGTACTTAGCTCCACCCTTCTGTTTGCCAAAAAAAATAAAAAAAATGGCTATACGGCCAAAATTCCAAACTCGAGGCTTCAAAGGGGCCGTCCACTAACCAGTGGGTTATATTTGATTTTGGAACCAGATGTCAACAGTCACATATGGGTGTGGTGTGCACATACTTCATGTCGTCTACATTTATTCTTCCAAAATGAGAAGTTTAACCCATAAACAACATGCACCCTGAAGCATGTTAGCGGATATTTTTTTAAGTTAACACAGATACAATAAGACTTTCACCACTTGAACTCTTGTAATAAGTTAAGCATTTACTTGTATCAAGTTGCTGACACTTGTGGCAACACATTGTTGAAAAAGAGTAGACTCAACATCTCTTTTCTCAGTTTTTAAGTTGGCAGAGATATGAAGTCCTTGGAGTTCTTCGTATAATATTGCTAAATTGACATTTGATCTACAATTTCTTGATGACTGTGCAAACTCCTGCCGATGAAGACCATGTAAAATGATTGAAAAGAAATCTGGTTTTGCAAGTTCCTTTCCATCCTCATTAATTTCCTTGCCCTCTTCTCTCTCTCTCTCTCCAAACACACCTCAAAGAGACACAGGAGATTCTAACTTAATTCTGCTAAACCCACTCTGGTCAAATCCTCTCTCTCCCTTTCTTCTCTCTCTCTCTGTCTCACAAACACTTTGTAGGGTAAATCAATGAGCCTTGGCCGTCTGAATATCTGCTGCCAAGTATGGTCAGCCGTGAACACTCAAAGACACAAAAAAAAGAGCAGAAAACGACTCACTACGCGATGCACCCAGTTCAGTCAGCTACTGAACCACATGCTCACACACACACACACACTCTGTGACTCCCTCCTCCTTCCAACGTCTAAAAACACAACAGAGCAGGAAGAGATGAAAAAATACAGGATGTAAAACCAAAAGAGTCAGACACAGCATATGAAGTAATGATGGAGGAAGATGTGAGCGTACAGGCCACGGTGGAATACCTCACTACACGCTAAGATCTGATTATAGCTTTCAGGGACAAAACTTCCTTTCATTTGTGACTTTCTGTGTAAGTTTATAAAAGGAGACAAGGAACACCCACTCAATACTGTACACTCATTCCACACTTAAGACTTAAGACGAGAGATAAACGTACCCACCCTGAGTCCTTATTTACTGTCTGTGAATGCTGTACTGCTGCGCTGGGATCAGTGGTCGGGCACCCCTCCGTTGCCTCACACCACTAAGCCTATTCTCAAATGGCATGGTTGCTGTGCCGAGATCAGCGTACCTTCGGAGACGAAGGACCAAGCAAGTGTTTGTAAAGACAAATAAAAATCATTTTAAAAATGGGTGATGTTGCTTCATTTCGTTGAGCCATGCTTCCCCCGGCCGCGACAGGCCGGGCAGGATTTGTGCCGCATCCTGTGTCACAGCCTCGTTGGAGGATTTTATAGAGTGCTCCCATAATGCAATTCCTCTCACCAAAGGGGGGGGGGGGGGGGGACGGACATAAATCTACCTCTGGTTTTTATTTTTGACACTCACCTTTTTTATTTGCTAAAAGGATCCTGAAATTGCTATCCTCTTGGCTTTCTTGATCTACACACACACACACACACACACACACACACACATAGGGCAGTCCCATCGACCAGTCATTAATTTTGTCATTTCATGCTGAATAACTTGTTTTTTAAAGAAACTTATGAGCACATCTCTGATACACACAAGATGGAAAGTGGTGCTTCTGAGCGATTCTTTGTGGAGTCGATTAAATCAACAAATCGAGCGTTACTAAGGAGTTCTTTGGTCGAGGGCAGCCCTACACACAAAACCACCCACACACACATGCAGAAGCCCTCTATAGAAAACCATAAATTATAGGACTTATGCCAATTAATGCTGCAACTTCCCAAGCAGCCCTAAAGTGCGTAACAGGGAGGCATCCTCCAAAGGTTGAATATTACATTCAAACTGTCTGCATGTTTACAGACTGTAAAGAAGAAGAAAAACATGTACAGTGTGTTTATCTGTACATAATAAAGAGGCAACAAAGAGTCACACAGTGGGTAGCTGAATTAAAATGCACTGTGCTTGTAATGAGCTATCTAAATTCATAGTTCATATTGCTTGGAATTACACAAAAGAGGGGCTCCGGGCAGCACTGGCAAAAACTCTATAGCTCTTTCTGCTTCGCTGCCAGAAGATTCTCCCTGTCGAGCGGCGACACGGTCGGTGCTGAGGAAATCGTTTGAGCCCGAGTGTGCATCCATGAATGCAATAATTCCTTTGTATACGACATCACCTCCTCTCCCACTTTGTGGCTGTCAACATGTTTGGCTGCACTCTATCGCACTCCCCCTGCTCGTGCGTGTGCAAAACCCACGCACACGCAAGAAGGGGTTGTTGGCGCTTCAAGCTCCGATTACTGACAACTCTGAAACACATGCTGAAGTAGATACACACATATTTAGAGACACACACATGCACACGCTAAGTCTGACTGGATGACTCGAGGGTGTCGGTGATTAAAAGGAAGTCGCACGACCACGCTTTCCTCGAATAAAACGGTGGCTAAACAGAAGATGACAGGAGTTGCGGGCGCTTCAAAGTTATCTGGGAAACAGCTCGGCATATTGGCGCCATACGGAGGCGGATCCTTTGCCACACTTGACACGAATGCCGCCGCATCAGTTGTCGTTTTCAAAAGCTGAAAAACAGATGCAGGGGTAAGGAATGGGAAATGATTTGGGTTTGTTGCTTCTGATGAGCTCCGCTTCCTGCCAACTGTGACAGGAAATGGGCAAGGCGGCACAAGGTCAGCGTAGCAACAGATCCTGCAGACAATACGCTCTTATTTTCTCCTGGATTTAACTGCACTATACAGCGGCCCGTGGGAATCAATTAGAATCATGCTGTGCTTGGTTTTCCCACCCCCATTGACTTGGCAGTAATGTGTTTACTTCACAGCCAAGCTCTGCTTACAAAAGTAAAAAAAAACAGCATCCTTCCTTACGATGCAACTTTCCTGCTGTGTGCTGCAGTATTGCATATATGAACTTATCAGGTTTAACACACAATATCAGGTTACAGTTTCCTGCAGATCCTCGACCACAGCATGTATTAGTGTGGCATAAAAGTAAGACCCTAATTAAAATAAAAGTGCATATGAGGCAACAGTTTGACCTCTGGGCCGGGTCACAGCCTGACAGGTCTATTAGCATATGTTTTCCTTCCACACATACACACACACAACAAAGATTGCAGCTTGCTGTGAGGCTCTTTCGTGTGTCAAGGAGGACAGCTTATCACACTCCCGGTGTGTCTCGGCTGCCAGACGAAACTGACAAGGTGTCACCTTGTTATTTGGCTGCGCAAAAAAAAAAAAAAAACAGCCTCCGTCTACAGGGAGTTGATTAGCACGAACCTGTTGCCGCGTTTCACATCGGCACATGCCGAGCTCACTAGAGAATTGAGTGGTCCCGCTGCAGCGGGGATGCTGGTGGACCTAAAAATAGCTCGGCGACGGAGCAAAAAACAGCCAACAGCAATGGCACACATGTATGACATATGGATGTCATTATTATCTGTTGGTGGCTGTGGGGATTATTCATCATGTGTTGTGGAATTATTTGAATGAGCTAATTGCAGCTGTGAATTCTTCAATTTGCATGTTTGTACATGTAGTAGGCCTACATGCTGGATTTACATATCATGTATACAATACATTTGATTTCAGATGGATTGATCAATCATCTGGGTCAATTTGCAAAAGCTGCTGCTGATAAGTACGGATCTGATAATCTCTAATAAATCTGCTGTCCTGTTGCCTGTAGAGGAAGCCGGCATTCACATTCAGTACTCGCAGATTGACGTGTATGTATATATTTATTTAGCTTTGGGAGGGATTTACTCATGCTTGTGGTCTTCCCTGTCCAGAAGAGAGTTGAATTATGTTTAATGGGTGTTTTCACCTCGAAAATAATCTTCGGCCACACTTGCATTACTAAAAAACACCACGGTTTAATAAAGGATATTCAGCCAATTTTCAATCTCAGATATGCTGACAAGGGATTTGGAAGATCCCAAATGCTACTTCTTTGCAGGTTTCCACGCAAAAACTGCAGAGATGATCCGCTCCACTTTCCTTCCACCTACCTTTACCCATTAGTCACAAACAGGAAAGACCCACAGCCTCCTAACATCTCACAGTGGAACACAATGTTTCCACATCCAGCTGCTTCCGATAAATATTAATATTGTTGCAACAAAGAAGAAGAGGACAACACAACAGGACTGCAAGTCCCTTAAATACCATAGCGATGCCACACAGGATTGACCCAATAAATTGTCCTGTAATAAATTGCCGGTAAGCTCAGTGTTGAACACCGCTCTAAAGCTTCTACAGAGAGGCTTCGGGAGATAAAACACACACCCTCAAGTGCTATTTGGGGCTGTACAGTGATACAGATATTATTAAGTGCCATGTCTCCACAAGTCCAAAGAGCAACACTGCAGGAAAAGAATCAAACATGCACAGACAGACAGTGATCAGCGCCGTGGCAAATCAGTTCTCTGTCAGATGGACATGTCTCTGCATCCACCACGCGCAGCTTCTCCGGCCACGTTTACCCCTTATAATTAAGCTGTAGCGCGCTCGCAGATGCGCACCGCACGGAGCGAGCGCGTTGCCCTTCACCTACCGTACCTTTGGTGTGAGCGGCGCTCAACCCCAAAGCCACTACAGCCAACACGCCGGCTATTCTCAGCATCTTCTCGGTGGAGATTCAGCTACGCGGCGACTTCTCTCCTCTTTCTTTCTTTCTTTTTCTCCTGTCTCTCTCTCTGTCTCCCCGTCTGTCCGCCCTCTCCCTCTCAGTCAACGCCTCGGGTTCGCTCTCTCTCTTTCTTCAGGCAGAGTGTGGAAACAGTTCACCGTTATGTGGGACAAGCCAGGCAGCGTGGAGTAGAAGAAGAAGAAGAAGAAGCGGAATATGAAGAAGAGGATGGACACCGAGTGCCTGCAACGCGCCTTCGCCGCACCGTAACGCGCGCGTCGCACCGCAGGTTGTGTGGACGGACGGAGGCAGCGACTGAAGTGTGGGTTTGGCGCCGAGACGGGACTGGAGAGCAGCAGCGCACCCCGGGACCAGACCGAGCGACGTCACACAGGGAGGAGAGAGAGAGAGATGGATTCAGGCGCTCCCCCCCACCCTCCTCAACCCTCTCACTCTTTCTCTCTCTCTCATCCTCCACCCTCCCCTCTCTCCTCCTCCTCCTCCCTTCTGCTATCTCTGGAGCATCCCAGCCCACTCCAGCTCACAGCGAGCCTGCCACGCTGAGGAGGGATCCTGATGAGAACAATTGCATCTTGTTTCAAATGACTATAGGACACGATGCTGTTATCATGCATCTGTAATGGGCTCAATCTAACTATTTTAGCATAGACTTTCTAATAACACTTGAGTTAAAATGCCATAAATTAAAGAACACTTTGAGTCATTGTGAACTTACAATGGCAGACACATTGTGTGATTTAAATACTGTAGTATTATGTGTTACTTGCTTGCCTGAAGATGCAGTTTATCTTCCTGAAATTGTATCGTCATCACGAAACAGTTGTGGTTGTTCATGCACAGAAATGGAATGTTTTCAGCCCAATGAAGAACAACCTTCTGTGTTTTTATTACTTTTAAACTCTTTTTTGTTTGTTTTTTAGTTCCCAAAAAATATTATTTCTTGTGACTGCATCCCGACAGTGATTTATCTGAACTAATAAGTGCTTTGACATTGAATCAAGAAAAGAGGGAACGATAGATTGACAGATTTTAAGTATTTTATAGAGAAAACATTAAAAACTGCTCCTTAAAATCTCAAATATTGTCATTTCTTTCTAAAATGTGCAAAATGAAAAACAATCCCTGAGCGACATGGCTCGCTTTGCTAGAGAATGTTATTGTCCCATGTGTTTGTCTAAGGTGTGTGTGTGAGTGTGTGTGCAGACGTAAATTGGCACTCGTGCGAGCATGTGTATGAAGGTTTGGGGTTTTTTTTTGGTGCACTTGGTGCCGGGCAGTAGGATTAATAATAACTTTTTCAATTTTCCTGAGTAGACTATCTCAAATGAACTTTTCTCTTGGACTATCTCCGCTGGTTTAGGATTATTCTGGGAGGCAGAGAAAATATTGCTGGCGTTATCTAGAGGGAGAGGAAAAATAATAACACAAACAGATGACAATGCATAGATTTGAATCCACACCATCCAGTGATGAAATTAAATTTGGTTTTCTTTTCACCGGGAAACGACTAAAGTGCTTTATAGCCGACAAAAAAAGGCTTACAGAGAAACCAAAGCAGTGGTGCTGGGACCCTCGAGGGGCCTCAACATTTACATTATCACTACTTTAATAACATCATCTATCATGCACACATGTATTACATACAAAACAAATGAAAATATAGGTCCATTTCAATATTTAGTTCTGTATAATATCAAATGCTGAACATATAAGGACATGACGTAAAGGCTAATCTATTCCTCAAGGCTTTACTGCACAGCCACAGATCTCCTCCAAATTGCAGCCATTAATCAACAAAAACAAATATGGTAACACAGAAAAGCTGCGCGTGAAATACCAAATCTTTATCCAGCAAGGCAAGCCATCTGGGGGCTCGGCGGGGCAGGTTATTTTCTGAGTAATAAGACTTTCTATATCAGTGGCCGAGCTGCAATGCAGGCACACGTACTTCTGTATTTCATCAAGGCCATTCTCAAAATTAGAACCTGCTGCAAATGGACAATTTTGTTCCGCTTCTGCCCCCCCCCTCCCAGATGCTTTTTCAATATTGACACACATTACGCCCACTAGGCCACCATATCCACCCACGCTGGGAGTAGTGAACGGCAAGCTATAATGCTAATGTAATATCACACTGTGTCCGGCTGTCTGCTCAGAGTCCTGAGAGCGTGGGAGGGGGGACATAAAACAGAAAGCAAAAAGTTTCTCTCATACTGTGTGTGTGAGGCAATCTAACCTGGCTGAGTGGTTTAATGTGCCACTCTATTTGTCTCCTGTAAGTATTTCACCTTTGGGAAATATCAGTGACATACATTACTGGCAGCCATTTGCTGTTTAGGTTGCTAAATGATGATGGAAACAATAAGAATAAGATGAGGATATTAGTTCCAATTTGATGATGACTACAGCGTTGGGTAATACATACATAATGTGGTGTGAGGGCCCCTCCCGAAACAACTAAAGGATTTAAATAAGATGCTTTTCAAAGAGCTGCTGCCTGCAGGGAAGGCAGCTCTACAAGGACGCGTTAAGGTTGTCCAGACTGTTGATAACCAAAGAAATGTCATATGATACTTATGTGCTAAAAAAAAGTAAAAACGAAAGAAAACAGCATCCGTGATCACAGCGACCCTCGGTGCTGAAGTTACACCAACTTCGCGAAAACATTGTGAATTCTTGGCGCTGTACGGAAGGCGATGCAGTTGCAGTTTGGTTTCCTATCGATTTCTATTCTTAAAGCAAAATCTGGAGGCTGCATTTGGGCTCATTCCAAATCCATTTATGATGCTCTGCTGCAGAGCACCACGCGGCTAATGAGTCTCCCTCAGTGCACCTGGCTGACATTTCCATAGTGGGGCACATATTAGCTTTTGTCACTAAGCAGACTTTACAGCCAGCCAGAGTCTTGTGATGTATTTCAGGCACTTTTGCAGAGATTTATGAGTTACAGATAATGCAGCGGCCTCATTGAACCCAGAATACTCCATAATCGATAATACACGTACAGTTGTTTCCAGACACAAAGTGGTTGTCCATGCGGTCCTTTCACGAAATACCAATACCTAGCTCAAAGTTCCTGTTCTTGTCTCGCCATTGTTACGCTGTACAGAGGCAGAAATATGGAAGTCCATTTCTACATTTATCTTTCAGCCTGGGGGGGGGAGGGGGTGGTAGGAGGGGGGGGACACCCACACCAAAGAATGCTGTTGCACATAGACACAGACTTTGGTGGGGGGGGGTTTCCAGCAGAGCAGGTCTGGGTGGAGGATCCCTCTGTGCACAGCAAGTGTGACAGATAGAAAAGCACACTCATGCATCTTAATTTGATCATTTACTGCACACATGGAGAGAATAGAGAAGCCATCTTCTTCGGTCGCTGAGACCAGCGGTGCGGTGTGCATGTTATTGGGTGTGTTCTCACAGAGAAGTGCGAGCTTTATATATATATATATATATATATGTGCATGTGTTTACATTAAAAATCAAAATGCTTTTCTCTCACGAGGAATAGATTTAGACTTGAGATTGCGGAGCAGCAGGTCAAAAAGCCAGGTGGCCGCCTGCTGCTGTTGTTCCCGTCATCGTCCTTCCTGCTGCTGGAGCTGCTGGGCCTCATCTCGTGTCCTCGTGCGATCAACCTTCCTCCTTCTCTTATCCGTCCCTCAACTGAGAGGTCATTTTATCTCAACTAATCAACCTCCCGTGTTTCCATTCAACCCCGCATCTCTTCTCCCGCCCTCCCTCCTGATGCCTCCATCTTTCTCCTCATACAGGCATAATCACTCTACTGTCACTTAATTCAGATCTCTCCATCCACCCCTCTTCTCCGCCCTGGCTCTCCGGTTAGTGTGTGTGTGTGTGTGTGTGTGTGTGTGTGTGTGTGTGTGTGTGTGACAGAGTCCGGTGCTTCCGTATACTCCCACTGACAGCTGGGCCGGTGCTGTAGGGGGAGGGATGAGAGGAGGTAGAGAAAGGAAAAGATATAGACCAATCCTCCCCCTGGCGTTTCCCCCGCCGGCTCTTTCTGAGGAAGTGTCGGCGGCGGCGGCGCTTTGAAGGCGACTGCATCATGGTCTGAAGCTGCGAGAGTGCCTTCTGGTCCCGTTTTGCCTCGCCTCACTGGCAGGAAGTGGGCCAGAAGTTGTCATCTGCTCAAAGCCTCGCACATCTCTCAATCCCATTACTGGAAAAAATAAAGTAAATGCTAGTTCCTCTCCAGTATGACACTGGAAATTCACGTTTCAAAACTTTTTTTGTCAGACCGATTTGACTTTACTCAATAAGTTTTCTCTTCTCCATTGGAACTTTAAGAGGACCATACCAGTGATTTAGCAGTGTTAGCCCAGTTATTACTGCAGAGCATGCAGTAATAATAACTTCTACCCCTCGAGGCATCTATTGTGTTCCATGCATATGCACAATAGGACCATATAAAAAGCTGGCTCTTTAGACTTGCTTAAATTGAGAAATCCATCAGAGACAAAGTGAGATTGCCAAAGCTACAAGTTGTTATGACATACTGTTAGGTTAACATTTTTAAAACTGCAGGATCACAGCCTGTAAGAAACAACCATCTAAGCAAAACATTGTTAAGTAATTAATGCCATTAATTACACAAAATGACAAAATGATTAAACAAAACATAAAACAAAATGACTAAATGTAACTTTCCTAAAATAATATTGTGCATATTGTGTAAAATGCAAACAGAGCACATGAGTAAATGTGTGTCTGTCTCCCTCTTAATGAACGAGTGTCCCCATCTCCCCCACAGTGTGTGATACTTTAAATTAGGACTGATGGCAAACACTTCATCTATGAATCTATTCTATTCTATCTTCTAAAACTACGGCTACGGATCTGGAATTTAAAAGTATCATTTAAAAAACACTAATTAAAACAAAACAACGACGGTAAGAAGTTAATTATAATGAATTAATTCATTTTTAAGAAAAGTAGTTTTCAGCCTTTGCGAGCATTTTCCATTTATCGTTAATAAATCATTTGTTTATTCATCTGTTGCCCATGATTCTTTTCCCCGGGTTTATTTATCACCGTTACCTAAACGGGGAACGTAACACTGGGCCACAGGTAGTCCAGAGGATTACGCAACTCAAGTTTTAAGTGTCCAAGAGATTTTCCATTTCCCTACATTCCATCTCAATGGAACTGAATGGAAACCAATGGCTGCATCAATCAGTGGGAATACATCCACAAATGTATGCAGTCAAAATATTCAGGAGAGATTTAAGGATTCAAAACTTGCAAAAAAACAACATAGCAGTAGTTTGATATTTTGAAATCAGCCCGAAACCGATCACAGCTTATCTTTAGGTGTGATGTGACATGCGGTTCAGGCCTCTGACATCATCAGTCTAATTGGAGCAACTGACCAATCAGATGTTTTTCTAACGAGATGTTTCCTGACACATTTATTTACAGTCAACGTTGTTCTCGTACGTCTGTGAAGGCTCATCTGATTCATCAAGCTGTTTGAACCCAAATCACACGCTGCAGTTTGGATTGAAAAGGTTTCTCTCTTCATTCCTTTTGCCTTTTAAAAGCAAAAGTGCAGTCCAGTGATAATCAGCGCTCTACCGCTTATGTATTTCAACTGCAGCGTCATTTCCCATTGAAAAGAGAAGGTTGGGCTTGTTTGAGCCGACATTTAACTGCACATTTCCATCTGTTGGAATGATCTCCGGGTTCTCTCGAGGCTTCAGACTCTGGAGGATTGTTGTTCCTCTGCTCTTTGTTGTCTCCTCCGTCCATTCAAGAGCTCAGCATTTTGTTTTCGTCCTCTTTGCTCTACTTTTGGCTCTTTGTGATGCCCGACTCTCCACAGTCACCAAAGCTTGCTGTTGTCTTTGAATAGCAATCCTCCTCTGGTCCAAGGCAGACTTGGCTGCAGCTCAACAGGCTTGTTTGTCGGTCTTGGCAGCGATGCTTGCAGACCTGAATGTACCTGTTTCAGCATTTTCTTTGCTTTTTTTCATTTGTTTGTTTGTGTATGCTGGGGAAAAGAGGAAATAGAGAATGTGTGTGTGTGTGTTGCCTCTTTTTTACCTCAGGGTTTGAGGGTCAGCTGACCGTGACCAGCTCTAGCAGACACATTCACACCACAGCCAGACCCTTCCCAGTCCCTCCAGATCTGGGATATCAGTCACTTACAGACAGAGGGCTCTAAACAAACATGAGCTCGACCTTGATACACACACACATAAATAAAAGGTAATACAGAGGCAGAGAAATCCAAACAAACACACTCAGAATAGCTGCATGTAGACAGCTTGGTTCTAAAACCATTTTTCCCCCCATGAACACAAATCAAGTCAATTTCAAACACGAACAAAACCAATCTGCTCCGCGCTGAATAAAGGCTGTCATACATAGGCTGTTCGGTGTTGGGCGCGAAATAGCAGCGAAAATGTATTTTACTTCATGGCCTCTGCAGAGTAAGGACAAGACTGAGCAAACAGCGCTGTGGTGTATTATGTCTAAACATCAACACATGAGGTGAGGCTGTATGAAGTTGGCTGTGGTTTTTTTTTTGTTTCAGCCTCTCAGCACTCAACTTCCTCCAGTAGAGTTCACACGCAAAGGTCACATTAAACATATATGGAGCAGCTCGTGGGAGGAAACCGCCTCTTCGCTGGTCTCCAATTGACGAAGCGTCATGAAAAAAGCAAGATCTTGCCAGCAGCAGCCCTACTGATGACCTGACTTTATTTCGGAGGCACAGCGTTTAACATACAAATAACGTATTTTTATCTAAATTGTCACTCGGTCGCTAAATGGAGAGCATGTGTATTAAAGTGGAAGTTCAGACCACAGAGCTACAGATAAGGGAACGCTGAAATGTGTGTTCAAGCATCAAAAATAGTCACACTGGATAAAGAAGTGGTTTCTGTTTGGTTGTGTTCCATCTATGGCATAAGAAACAAATAAATAAAAAGATGTGTATGAGGGCAGAGCTCGATCATGCTGTTATCTTTCTTTGAAGTGGAGGGTTTTACCTGATGTAGCGTGTCCTAATTGTCAACAGCAAAACCCCATCCAGATGTTTCAAATCTAGATCCTTTTTGGATCAATTTCCCACAGATGCCCCTCCATTTGGCAAAAGCTTATAAGACTTGAGAGCCGTTGGCTCCCGAACTGAGATGCTGAGCAAAAGATGTATAACCAAAGACACACGAGACGGCGCCAAATGATGCTAAAAGTAATCAAAAGAAACGATAACCAGGATGAAGGAGGATTATGTCTTAACCCTGAACTGAATGTTTTCCATAACACATACATTCTTTAGCCTGGCTTTTATTATTTTATTTTTTTAATATTAATTATGTATATAGTAATTTTTATAGTAAGTATGTTCCTTTTAACTTTATGTTTATATGAATAAAGTTTGACTGATTAATCGATAACGTTTAATATTAATTCCATTATCTGCTTGCAATAAATGTTTGACACTGTAAAACCTCATTCAGTTAATTCCATTTCTAGGTTTTATTTTCCGACCCGCTTCAGAATGAATGCATGTTCGGTATTCACTAAACTCATCACATTAATCTGCTGCAGTTTCTGATCACCAGTGACTCTGTGGAGCAATGCTTTTCTAAGTAAACCGCTGTCTTGACTTTACTCTGCATGAGGATGCACCTACACTCCCACGAGCACGTAACCTGGTTCATGATGATTCATGCTGGTGGATGTAATGCGCCAACAAACGCAGCGATGCACTAACAAAAACAGACGTTAGATGTCTTTGTTAATGTTAATTCATGATCGTTTCCTCTGATTCTAACAGAAACAATAGGAACCATTATGAGAGTTTGTATTCAGTTCCATCAGGACCGACCACAGCTGTTATGGTATTTGTGTCAAATGGAAAACCGGCCCCTCGAGCTGAGATTGTAACTGCAAAGAAAATGTGACTGAATAATTGTGAGTTGTTTTGGAATATATCTGAAATCTGTTGAATGCATTTTGTCAAGATGAATAAAATGTTCTGGTTTATTTCAGTTAACTCACATTTTTTAAAAAGACACAGCAGGGGGACTTTATTTTTTAAAGTTGAATCAGTTTAAAATGTGTTTGTAAGACACAACAGGTTAGTACGATTTATTTATAATCATGGCAACACGGGGAACTTTCTGTATTCAATACAAGATGCCTGAGGATCCAATTTCCAGTTCAGATTTGTGCAGCTCAGATGGGAACTGAAAAAAGTAGTAGTTTCAGGTGAGTAGCTTTTCCTGTTCACGGATGCGAAACAACAGATATGTGTCAAACATGCAGGGAGGAAAAAACAACCACTGAAAGTCAGTTGTACTGTGAAGGAAACTTAAATACGTGTCTGTTCCACTCAAAAAAAAAAAAACAATGTTTCTTTTTTTCTTTGGTTAGGTGGATCAATAAAAAGAGACAGTTATGATGTAAAAAGTGAGAATTCTATTAAAAAAACAAACAATAATTGAGTTTTTCACCTTGTGACCTTTATGTCACCTAAACAAATAGTATATCCTGTCCCCGTCTACTCTTCTAACCAACTACTCCTGCAACAGAAGTATCCACATCCTCTTTTCTCCTCCAGAAGCCGTCAAAAGAGAAGTAATACAAGAGAGGGTCCAGACAGCAGTTCAAGCTAGCGAGACATATCAGTGGCGTGAGGGAAGGTACCCATCTTTTAAAGAGCACGGCCAGTGACACGGGCAAGAAAAATACAGCAAACATTATCAGGTTCATGGCAAAAATCAACATGACGTTCACCTTGTTTTTGACCCTGGCGGAGTCATTCAGATGTCTGCGTAGAGTCAAAGACACCAGAGCCGTGGACACAATGTTGACCGCCAGCATGGCGAGCACCAACACGGGCTGAACATAAGCCAGGATTGGGGTTTGATGATGCCAGGGACGAAATTCAAAGCAGGTGGATTCATTGTAGTTGTTTAAGAATCTTGAGAAGTCCACGCTCTCTGGGATGTTCACCACCACCACGAAGAGCCAAGTGAGCGCCACGGCCTTCCAGGTGTTGGACGCGGTCCGGAGATGGCGCAACCTCAGAGGATAGACCACCGCCAGCAGCCGGTCCGCGCTGATGAAGGTGATGAAGATGGAGCTGGAGCGGATGTTGTTGCGAAAGAGCATCGTGATACAGATGCACGCCATACTGCCCAGAGGCCAGGCTCCTGTGGCGTAGAAGTAGACCCTCATGGGCAAGGTGATGATGAGCAGCAGGTCAGAGATGGCCAGGTTGACCATGAAGATGGCACTGGGGGACTTGAGGCTGTGGCAGCTTAACAGGATCCACAGCGAGGCGGCGTTGAGAGGCAGGCCCACCGTCATTACCGACCCAAACGCCAGAGAGTACCCCATGTTCCTCATGTCCTCCTCCGTTCCATTCTTAAAAGTACCGTTGAGCATGTTTTTTGTTTTCTGTGACAACCGCACGAGTGCAGGCGCAGTGAACGGAGCTGAGAAGGAGACCACAATTACCCCGCCTCCTCACCAATCACATCGAGCGAGATCTGTGCGAAGAAAAGGCTGCTTTTACATGTTGAAATGGCTGAGAACATTGAAAACAGGAAACAACTTTCACAAGGGTTGAAGTAGTGTGCCGTTCAAGTAAAACAGAGAGTGTGTGGGAGTTTACAGTCATGGACAAGAAGCTTTCTAAAAAACCACAACCATGTGCACTGGATTCACACAACAGCTTTGACTCGGGGGTTACATGGATTCGTTCTGTTCAGGAGGTCTACTCTATTAACACTCCATCTGTACTGCACTAGAAGATACATGCTGTGCAAATTCCATCTGAACTGACGGCTAATTAAGCACAATCTACAGTGTGGCCACTAATTACTGGCTGAGCAGGGAAGAAAGAAAATTAAAATAATGTGATTTAGTTGTTTCATATGGTATTTAGCCATGTGTGTGGATGACTGATGTACTCGTGTGCTTATGTTGGACGTACCTGTTTTACACTACAGTGTCTTCAGGGAATGTTAATTACATAATTACCCTAATTACTCAGGTTTATCTGCATTTTGTAGAGTCGCAATCCACGGTCAACTCACTGATACACACAATATTAATGAATACAAATTGGATATTAAGTACTAAAAAATGATATTTAGAGAATAAAAGTCCAAATGTTCCGAGGCAAAGTACATCCTGCCTTCTAAGAAAACTGAATAACTGAATTGAAATAGAATTCAAACAAAAGTTACAAGGAAGCACACAAGGCCTCAAAGATGAGTGACCGTAAAGTTGCACACAATGAGTTCACAGACAAAACTCTGAGGAACTCTGAGGATTTCAGAGTTATCAAGAGCGTCATCAAGAGCGCTGCATGCATCCCATCAGTACCTGCCTGAAAAAGGATGATGCAGATAGATTTAAATAAAAGTAAAGGGATCACAATTCATCCATATGGGATCATGATTGTTTCTACCAAGTTTAATGGGAATCTATTCAACAGTTGTTGCGATACTCACAATGAGGAGAGTCATTAGGATTGTCGATTCTGGTGGAGTGATTTATTCATGACAGATTAATGCGCTCAGCTGTTTATGAATGGAACCTCCCCGTACATGCCACTCATGCCATTTGCCAGACGGTCTATTGTGTCACTAGAGCTGTTGGTGTTTCTGCCTGTTTATGATTCCTGCCTGTGGCTTATGCTTTCTGAGTTCATGCCACCTTCAGCCAAAACACCGCAAGCAACGTCACAAGAAATTGTTCAAGGCACGACAGATTTCATCAGCCTCGAAGCAGAAGAGATGATAAAAGTGTGTGAGGGAGAAACAGGAAGCAAATGCGAGACATCCTGTAGTAGCTGCTTATCTGTTGTAAAACAGCAGAACCACATCGATATTTAAAAAGAAAAAGGAAGACAGAGTCACACACCACACGACCAACACCTTTGCATGTGTGGCAATGACATATGTTATGTAATGCAATGTAGGCGAGGAAAAAAAAAAAAAGACAAATTTGTGCACAGTGTGCTGCAGAGACTGTTAGTGCTGGTAACTGCACGATGAACACATAGCCAGAAGGAAATACGTGTCTGTGGTAGTAGCCACTAATGTTCAAATGATCAAGGATTTCTTATGAACACTAACCTGACCTGCTAGATGGTTTGTTACCACAAAGGGCAGACACTTAAAAAAAAAAAAAAAAGTGGCAGGTGATTGGATGAACCATTATAAACAAACTCGGGAGTCGGGAGAAGAGTGAAACCTATGGAAGCCCATTTCCGCAAGAAAAAAAAAAGAAAAAAGTCCACCCAAAAAAATTTCTAATTATTCATATTTTTAATTATTCATATTTTTTTGCTGGCGGAAAAAAGTAAAAAACCTTTTTGTGACCTAAAAAAAAAATGCACCAACACTTTTGGGGCATCCATTTGTAACCATAACACTGACCAGATGTTTCCAGTTGCTATAGAAAGTCGAAATTATGAGTCATAGAAGCCGCTCTTCATAGGTTTCCCTACATTTGACATATACATGGATTGTGAAGACTTCTTTAAACGTGGCTTTACAACAGATGAAATACTTAAATTGCTTGATGTTTCACATAGATTGTACTGAGCAAACGCACCCTTGAATATAATGTTAAGCAAGAAGCAGCTCTGGAGTATAAAGAATAAAACCAATGTGGCTGAGAGGTGACGACCTTCAATAAACAACAACTGGAACATTTTTTTTTTTTTGCTGGCAGAAAAAAGTAAATCTATTTCTTTTTTTCGGGGGGTGGATTTTTTATATATTTATTTTTTAGTTATGTTTTTCGTTTTTTTTGGGCTGGTGTTAATGGGCTTCCATAGAAACCAGCTGTTCTATCGAGAAAATACTTTCGTTCCTTGCTATTCTTTTAATAAAGAAATACTAGTTCGGAGAGAACTGACGCTAACCTACGTATTTGGGAGCTCTGGGTCACATATTCGGTCAGAAGTTAATTTCACTACTTGAAGCACTGACAAGAAGGTCGGACAGGAAAGTTAAGTGTTTAGTAAATGCATCTCAGCAATGTTAGAATGGAAAATATAATATTACGTGGACCAAATATTTTTCTTTGATTTTTTAAAGGAGTAGTTTGATATTTTGGGAACTACAGTTTTTCACTTTATTGTCGAGATTTGAGGATCTATAGCACTCTCTGACCTTTAGCTTAGCTTAGCATATTGACTGGAATCAGGGGGGAAAAGCTAGCATGGCTCTGTCCATAACAAAATCCACCTGAGAAACAAACAAACAAGATATAAAGTGTTAATTAATGAGCTTTAAGGGTGATGGTACATTTTGTAACAGAGCAGGCTAACCGTTTCCCTCCGATTCCAGTGTATATGCTAAGCTAACTGGCTGCTGGCTCCAGCTACATATGGAAATCAAAGAGGTATTGACTTTCTCATCCAACTCTCAGCAAGAAAGCCTAAGTGTATTTCCTAAAATAGCAAGTAACATTTCGTATTTTTTTGTAGTGAAATATTTCTGCAGTTAATCTGTATTTCAAGCCACATCACAACAAAATGCACAAAAGTCAATATCTGTAATACATGCAGACTACACTGCATACTTTCGAGATTATTGTGCTCATTGTTTGCACTGCAGAACAGAAATAGCAAAGCAAAGAAATTACACATAATGTATTGCCTTTTCACATGCAAGTGTATATTTTCAAATGTAGAAATATACAAAGACAGCACGAGGGGAAAGTGAAGTATTTGTGTGCAATTACGCCAAAGCAGCTACCACCAAACTTCACGCCTTTCAACTTATCACTCAATCACCAATTTACCACTTACTCCCTTCCCTTCAGTCTCTCTCAGCTGCAACCTTTTGAAAGATATAAATCGAAATGGCTATAGCGACAGCAATTATGTGATTTCGCCTGACTCGCACAACTAAATAGAAAGGTGTGGATGCGGATGGCTCATCTATGCGTTCAGGGAACAAGAGAGCCTGAATGGATTTCTCTGGCAAATGAAAGGATGTTATTTTCGCCGGGGCCTAATATTTAAGAAACTTGAGTGTTTCTCAAGACAGCATCTCTTTGTTATTAGCGCTGTACTGATTTAAAATGCCGGGCCTGCTGCTGGCGTAAACAGATAGATGGACAGCGAGAGTTAGCAGAACAAATGTAGGAGAAAGGCAGGCGTATGTGGAGCGTGTATGCAGCAGGGCAAGTAATAAAAAAAATCTAGTTTCCTTCTTCTCTTCTTGTTATTGTTCAAATGTGTTTTGGTTCAGCCATTCGTATGGTTGAGTCTCAACAGCGCTCACCAACTCATATGAACCTATTCAGTTTCCAGCACACAGCCTCAAACTGACAATATTGTATGTATGTATGTATATGTGTATGTATGTATGTATGTGTGTGTGTGTATGTATGTATGTATGTATGTATGTGTGTATGTATGTATGTGAGTATGTGTGTATGTATGTGTGTATATGTATGTATGTGAGTATGTGTGTATGTGTGTATGTGTGTATGTATGTGTGTATGTGTGTATGTATGTATGTGTGTATGTATGTATGCGAGTATGCTACCTGCAGCAGAAAACACCATGCAGCCAAAGTTAACAAGTCACTATGAGGAAAGTTAGCAATCTAATGAATGATCCTGTTGATATTTTGCTATCAAGCTAACCCTGGGACAGCCAATGACTGTCAATAGTCCCCGTTTAAAACACAAATACATACTTGTTTATCTCAGGAGTTGGTGGACCAAACGTCCAGTGAAACACTAAATAGTGGACTGACATTCAAAAAGTGGTGAAATAAACAAACAAATCCGATGTATTGCAGGCTTTCTGCCTCTTTGTGGTCAAAAATCACTTGGTAAAAGGCAGACATTAAAATCGTTACAAATTAGGCATGTGAGCTTAAAGCGGCATTAATCAATATTTTTTCTACAAACAATGGCTCACAAGTCAAGCACGTCTTAAGAGTCTGGAATTGATTTTGGCTTTGTGCGAAAATGAAATGAAACCAATGAAAAAGCAAGAAGAGTCACTTCACCACATCTAAAACTGAAAAGCAGTGATGGTACAACTGGCGGCCACATATGGTCCTCAAAAGCTTCCCATCCGGCCCGCAGAATATTACTGCGTTCTGTCCCAGACCCAAGAAATTCTTAGTAGACGAACACTCATACAAGTTGATTAGTTGATACAATGAACAGATCTGTAAAACTTAGTCCTCCACAAAGAATCACACAAAAACACCACTTCATAGCTTGTGTTTAACAGAAATGTGCTCATACGTTTCTTGGAAATAAATCATTCAGAATGGAAGAAAGCTTAAAAAAAATGACTAATCGACAACAGAGATCTTAGTCAACGGAGAACAAAACAAGTAGACTAATCGACTGAGAGGGGGTTCTAGCATCTTTCAGCACATTGTTGTGCACATTGTTGTGGTTTTGCAGCCCACAACTTCACCGACGTTTCTCAGTCTGA